CTGAAAAATTTAAGGGGTAGTTATATAATAATTTTGGACGATCTCGGGCGGTCGGATACTTATGACCGCTACTGTAAAACTAAATAACATTCTTTATTTGATTTTATTTGATTAATATTTGACTAACATTTTCATTATACATTATAAAATATAATTTCTAATAAAAAATATTAATCACATTTAAAAGTAATATCAATATTAATATTATTACAATTTTCTATAAAAATTTTTAGAATTTTTGATTTTTGACATGTTAAATCATCATCTAATTCATTATTTTTTACAAAAATAATATTGTCATATTATTTAATTAGATCAAATGCCTTAAAAAATCCTAAAAAAAATTATAGTTAATTTTAAACAATAAAATTATTAATTTCAATAAATGTTTGTTTACATATCAAATTGATTTGTTAAATCCTTTAATGCCTCATCTTTAATAAGAATTAAAAAAAAAGCATTATCTTATTTATGCTTGATAGATTGATACTGATAGGCAGATACTCCTACAATTGTTTTATATCTTAAAAAATTTATTTACTCATTAAGTGTGATACCAGATTCAACAAAATTGTGAATACCTGTTGATCTTATTGAATGATTAATAATTTTATGATCTTTAAAATTTAAACTAGAATCAGAACATATATTATGCATCATCATATCATGTGATCCTTTTCCTAGCTTTATTATTAAATACCAATTACCATTATATATATTTTTTGGTGTATTGATTGATATAAAGAAATAATTATCCTAAACATTATTAGGATATTTATTAAGAATTTTTATATATTTGCAACAGGAATATAAATATTTTCTAAAGTATCAGGTAGTATAAAACTTGTATCAGATGCTGTATATGGATTTTTAATTCCTCCTGCATGATTCTTTTCCTTAGGTAATTCAAGCTTTATTTCACCATCATCTATTTCAATAATTTAAGAAACTTTTAATCATTTAGCATCACTATCTCTTAAACAGTACAATAAAGTTAACCTAATCTAAACCATTCATAAAAGACCTTTAGGAGTATCTGTTTTAATGATAGGTGAGTTAAGTATAAATTTAATTTCATCAATTTTTAAGGGATTTGATTATTTTCGATTATTTTGTTCTTGATAAACGATTGATTTCATATGACTATCCAAAGTTCTATGTAAACTTATCAAATAAGTTTACAACTCTAATTTTCTCAAATATTTCAGAAATTTCTCTTGATAATACACAAAATCTAATATATAGTGATGATGCTTTATATTTTTGACCATTAGATTTTCTTACTTATACTAAAAATTGCTTTAATTATTTAGATAATATTTTATTATCTAATTCAATAATTTCATTTAAATAATCATGGACTTCATAAAACTTAATAAATAAACCTATTCCTACACTGTTAGATTTGTCTATATTTACATTTTTTGATACATTTTGAAATTTTAAAATTGTTTCTTTGGTTGATAAAATAAATTACGTTATTATTATTAATGTAAAAAAAATAATTTGAAATAGAAAGAAAAAATTTAAGAAAAAAAATGAAGCGTGAGAAAAAAATAATAATAAAAAATCACTAAAAAAAGTTAAATCTCTAAAAAAAGTTTAACTTGCTAATCATGTATAATTATGTGTTATGTTTAATGAATGATACACTTTTGAGGATTACCCATTTATTTCATGAAGTTAGAAATACCATAGTTTTTTCCCTTTGAAAAAAAACTATAATATTCTTAACCCCTCATGAAATAAATAATACTTATTCTAGTACTTATTTAATTATAATAAAAAACTTTTGAGAAGTTTATACAAAATGTAAATCAAGAATATAATAGTAGATTAATGTAAATAAGAAATTACACTAAGATCAAGGATCTGAAAATACAAATACATAAGATGAGAAAAGCTTGCATCTATTAAATCAGATTTTATTTGCTAAGAAAAAGTATATTTCAATCTTTTTGAATCCTATATAGATGATTTTGAAATATTATCAAATTGAAAACAATGAAATTTTAATCATATAAATAGTTATTGACATTTGCATATATATTATATTAATTACAGTAGTGGCGGAAAAAACTGGCAGTAAATGAAAATTCATTTACTCGATTAATATTTATTAAAATCGTTCGAAACTTAAAATATAAACAAACTAATACCACATTTATTATATATTAAAATTTTAATA